TTTTCCTTTCTTTTTCTTTGAAATCAGCCTTATAGTTTTTTAATTCTCTGATTGGTTTTTTTTGTTCCCTTTCCTTTTCTCTTTTTTGGTATCAGGCTTCCCCCACCCCCACCCCTTTTATCCCAGGGTTACTTCAACAAACAAATCAAAGTACACCTAGTTAAAGGTCTAAGCGCTCCACCACCACAAGCAAGGAGGAGCTCTGCAGAGGTCTGACCAGTGGGAAAGAGCAGCCAAAACCAATAGCAGAGTGTACACAACATACACCAGAAACCTGTAGTGCCAGGCCCTGAACAGCGTATGACCCCTTTTTAATACTCTCAGGTTCAGGAAATATAGCAAGCTTTTATAACACACAAAAGACAGAAACTTAGCCAAAATGACAAGATGGGGGAATTCTCCCCAGAAGAAAGGTCAAGAAGAAATCACAGCCAAGGGCTTGCTCAAAACAGATATAAGCAATAAATCTGAACAAGAATTTAGAACAACAGTCATAAGACTACTAGATGGGCTTGAAAAAAAGCATAGAAGATACCAGAGAATCCCTTGCTGCAGAGATCAAAGACCTAAGAACTAGTCAGAAAGAATTTTAAAATGCTTTGGTGAGATGCAAAATAAGCTAGATACAGTGACAGTGAGGATTGAAGAAGAGGAGAGAATAGGTATAATAGAAAATAAAATTATAGAAAATAATGAAGCTGAAAAAAAGAAGGAAATTACTAGATCACAAGGGGAGACCTATAAAACTAAGTGATTCCATAAAATGAATTAATATCCCTACCATAGGAGGCCCAGATGAAGAAGAGTGAAAAAGGGGGGGGGGCATAAGGTTTATTTGGACAAGTTATAGTTGAGAACTTCCCTAATCTGGGAAAGGAAACAGGCATCCAAGTCCAAGAGGCACAGAGAATTCCTTTCAAAATCAACAAAAATAGGTCAACACCATGATATATTATACTGAAACTTGGAAAATACAAGGATAATGAGAGAATTCTAAAAGGAGCTAGGGACAAAATGTCCCAATCTACAAGGGTAGAGACATAAGATTAGTAGCAGACCTGTCCACTGAAACTTGGCAGACCAGAAGGGAGTGGCAGGAAATATTCAATGTGACAAATAGGGAAAATATGCATACAAGAATCCTTTATCCAGCAAGTCTGTCATTCAGAATAGAAGGAGAGATAGTTTCCCAAACAAACAAAACCTAAAGGAGTTCATGACCACTAAACCAGTCCTGCAAGAAATTTTAAAGGGAACTCCCTGAACGGGGAATTAAAAAAAAAGACCAAAACATCAAAGACTACACAGGACTGGAGGACATCATCAGAAACACCAACTCTATAGGTAACACAATGGCACTAAATTCATATCTTTTAATAATCACTCTGAATGTAAATGGACTAAATGCTCTAAACAAAAGACATAAGGTATAAGAATGGATTTAAAAAACAAGAGCCATCTATAAGCTGCCTACAAAAGATTCATGTTAGACCTAAGGACACCTGCATATTGAAAGTGAGGAGACAGAGAACCATCTATCATGCTAACAGACATCACAAGAAAGCCAGAGTGGCCATACTTATATCAGACAATCTAGATTTTAAATCAAAGAGTGCAACAAGAGATTAAGAAAGGCATTATATCATAATTAAGGGGTCTAGCCATCAAGACCTAACAATTGTAAATATGCCAATTTGGGAGCACCCAAATATATAAACCAATTAATTAGAAACATTAAAAAACTCATTGGTAACAATATGATAATATTAGGGGATTTTAATACCCCACTTACAACAAGGAACAGATCACCTAAGCAGAAAATCAACAAGGAAACAATGGCTTTGAATGACACACTGGACTGGATAGACTTAACAGATATATTCAGAACATTTCTTCCTAAAGCAGCAAAATACACATTCTTCTCAAGTGTACACAGAACATTCTCCAGAATAGATCACATACTGGGTCACAAATCAGCCCTCAACAGCTACAAAAATATCGAGGTCATACCATGCATATTTTCAGACCACAATGCCATGAAACTTAAAATCAACCACAAGAAAAATTGTGGAAAGCCCTCAAATACATGAAGGTTAAAGAACATCTTACTAAACAATGAATGGGTTAACCAGGAAATTTAAAAAGAAATTTAAAAAACTGGAAGCAAATGAAATTGAAAACACAAGAGTATAAACGCTTTGCTATGCAACAAAGGCAGTTCTAAGAGGAAAGTACATTGCAATTCAAGTTCATCTCATGAAGCAAGAAAGGTCCCAAATACACAACCTAAGTTACACCTAAAGGAGCTAGAAAATGATCAGCAAATAAAGGCCAAAGCCAGCAGAACAAGGGAAATAATAAGTATTAGAGCAGAAATAAATTATATAGAAAAAAAAAAACAAGAAAAAAAGGTAGAATGGATCCATGAAACTAAAAGCTGTTTTTTAAGAATAAACAAAATTGATAAACCCCTAGCCAGACTCCTCAAAAAGAAAAGAGAGAGGACCCAAATAGATAAAATCACGAATGAAAGAGGAGAGATCACAAACATTACAAAAATACAAGCAATGATTATAAAATACTATGAAAAATTATATGCCAACAAACTGGATAATCTGGAAGAAATGAACAAATTCCTAGACACACACATACTACCAAAACTCAAACGGGAAGAAATAGAAAATTTGAACAGACCCATAACCAGTAAGGAGATTGAATCAATAATCAAAAATTTCCCAACAGATAAGAGTCCTTGGCCAGATGGCTTTGCAGGGGACTACCAGACATTTAAAGAAGAGTTAATACCCATTCTTCTCAAACTCTTCCAAAAAATAGAAATGGAAGGAAAGCTTCCACACTCATTCTATGAAGCCAGCATTACCTTTATTCCAAAATCAAAGACCCCCTTAAAAAGGAGAATTACCAGACAATATCCCTGATGAACTTGGATGTAAAAATACTCAAAAAGATACTAGCAAATAAAATTCAATAATACACTAAAATCATTATTCACCATGATCAAGTGGGATTTATTCCTGGGCTACAGGTCTGGTTCAATATTCACAAATCAATCAATGTAATACACCATTAATAAAAGAAAGTAAAGGAACCATATGCTACGGTTCATAGATGCAGAAAAAGCATTTGACAAATACAGCATCCTTTCTTAATTAAAAAAAAAAACTCAAGTAAGTAGGGACAGAAAGCACATACCTCAATATCATAAAAGCCATATATGAAAGGCCCACAGTTAATATCATCCTCAATGAGGAAACACTGAGAACTTTCCCCTTAAGGTCAGGAAAACAACAGGGTTGTCCACTCTCACCACTGTTGTTCAACACAGTACTGGAAGTTCTAGCCTCAGCAATCAGAAAACAAAATGAAATAAAAGGCATCCAAATTGGCAAAGAAGAATTCAAACTTTCAGTCTTTGCAGATGACATTATACTCTACAGTGAAAATGTGAAAGACTCCACAAACAACTGCTAAAACTGATCCATGAATTCAGCAAAGTTGCAGGATATGAAATCGATGTATAGAAACCAGCTGCAATTCTATACACTAATAATGAAGCAGCAGAAAGAGAAATCAAGGAATTGATCCCATTTACAATTGCACCAAAATCCATAAGATTCCTAGCAATAAACCTAACCAAAGGGGTAAAAGATCTGTATTCTGAAAACTATAAAAAGTTTATGAAATAAATTAAAGAAGACACAAAGAAATGGGGGAAAAAATCCATGCTCATGGATTGGAAGAACAAATATTGTTAAAATGTTGATGTTACCCAAAGCAATCTACACATTCGATGCAACCCTCATTAAAATAATACCAGCATTCTTCAAAGAGCAAGAACAAACAATCCCAAAATGTGTATGGAACCACAAAAGACCCCAAATAGCCAAAGTAACGAAAAAGAAAACCAAAGCTAGATGCATGATAATTCCAGACTTTAAGCTGTATTACAGAGTTATAATCATCAAGACAGTGTGGTACTGGCACAAAAACAGACACATTAATCAATGAAACACAATAGAGCCCCAGAGATGGACCCATGAATGTATGACCAACTAATCTTCAACAAAGCAGGAAAGAGTATGCAATGGAAAAAAGACAGTCTCTTCAGCAAATGGTACTTGGAAAACTGGACAGTGACATGCAGACGAATAAAACCGAACCACTTTCTTACACCACACACAAGAATAAATGCAAAATGGATGGAAGGCCTAAATGTGAGACAGGAAACCACTAAAATCCTACAGGAGAAAATAGGCAGAAATCTCTTTGAGCTTGGCCGCAACAACTTCTTACTTGACATGTATCCAAAGTCAAGGAAAACAAAGGCAAAATGAACTACTGAGACCTTCTCAAGATAAAATCTTCTGCACAGTAAAAGAAACAATCAACAAAATTAAAAGGCAACCAATGGAATGGGAGAAGATATTTGCAAATGACATATCAGATTAGTATGCAAAATCTATAAAGAACTGACTAAACTCAACACCCAAAAAACAAATAATCCAGTGAAGAAATGGACTAAAGACATGAATAGACACTTTCCCAAAGAAGACATCCAGATGGCTAACAGACACATGAAAAGATGCTCAACATCACTTATAATCAGGGAAATACAAATCAAAATCACAATGAGAAACCACCTCACACCTGCCAGAATGGCTAAAATGAACAAATCATGAGGAGCACCTAGATGGCTCAGCCGGTTAAGCCTCCAACTTCAGCTCACGTCATGATACACGGGTTGTGAGTGTGAGCTCTGCATCAGGCTCTGTGCTGACAGCTCAAAGCCTGAATCCTGCTTCAGATTCTGTTTCTCCCTCTCTCTCTGCCCCTCCTCTACTCTGTCTCTCTGTCTCTCTCAAAATTAAATAATCATTAAAAATAAACAACTCAGGAAACAACAGTTGTCAGAAAGGATGTGGATAACGGGGATCCCTTTTACACTTTTGGTAGAAATGCAAACTGGTGCAGCCAGCCACTCTGAAGAACAGTATGGAGGTTCCTCAAAAAATTAAAAATAGAAGTATCCTATGACCCAGCAAGTGCACTACTAGGTATTTATCCAAAGGATACAAAACTGCTGATTTGAAGGCCACATGTACCTCAATGCTATAGCAGCACTATCGACAATAATCAAATTATGGAAAAAGCCCAAATGTCTATCGATTGATGAATGGATAAATAAAATGTGTGTATGTGTGTGTGTGTGTGTGTGTGTGTGTATACACACATATATATACACATACACAATGAATACTACTTGGCAGTCAAACAGAATGATATCTTGCCATTTGCAGCAACATGGATAGAACTAGAGTGTATTATGCTAAGTGAAGTCAGTGAGAGAAAGACAAATATATGATTTCGCTCATATGTGTAATTTAAGAAACATAACAAATGAACATAGGGGAAGTGAAGGAAAAATAAGATAAAAATGGAGAGGGAAACAAACCATAAAAGACTTGTGAATACAGAGAACAAACTGAGGGTTGCTGGAGGGGAAGTGGTGGGGGGGAATGGGCTAAATGGGTGTTGGGAATTAGGGAGGGCACTTGTTGGGATGAGCACTGGGTGTTACATGTAATTGATGAATCACTGGGTTCTACTCCTGAAACCAATTCTACACTGTATGTTAACTAACTTGAATTTAAATAAGTAAATTAAAAAAAGAAGAAGAAGGAGGAGGAGGGGAAGGAGAAGAGGAAGAAGAAGAAGAAACAATTAGGCATTTAGAGTTACCTAGCCGTTGAAGGTAGAACCTGAAAAGCAACGAGGAGGAAAGGAAGGGGGCCAACCAAAACCCCAAGAAACAAAGTCACTTGCCTACAGTTGCAAGCATTCACTTTTGCCCCTCTCTGCAAAGAGAGCTTTCATACTATCTTTACTTTCTAATTTATACTCTAATAAACTTTGCCTACTGCTCATTTTATTCTGTGTCCACCTCGTCATTCTTCGAAGCAAAGAGACAAGGAACCCTGGGTATTGACGTGAAAAAAATCCTGCAACACTGACATCCTCTGGCAATCAGGAAGCTGATATCTTAGCTCAGATACAAACCCTAGCTACTAAATCTTTAGTAGATACAGCAGATTGGGTACATAGGAAGAGAGGCCACCACAGTGCCCAAGTAGCATGGCATACTGCCAGGGATGCTGGATTGCCCTTGAAGTACAATGACTTGTTTAATGGAGTAAGAGTGATGAGGGAGTATAAGGCAAGCTGAAGGAAAAGCACAACTAGCAACTACCACCCCGTCCTCCCCAGTGGGATATGTGTGACATTCCTCAGGCATTTCTGGCTACCCAAAAACAAAAGAAAGGGGAAAACGAATGGTTAACTGATAGAAACCACAGTCATACAGGACATGAATCTCCAACAGTTTGATGAGGTTTTGGAATGGTGGGGGGGGGGGGGGTTGGGGAGTTCAGAGCTGATGGCCAAGAAAAACTTCTTGGAGACATCTTTGGTACAAAATGGTGATTTCATTAAAGCACAGGGACAGGACCTGTGGACAGAAAAAGCTGCAGTGAGATTGTGAAGAGTGACTGGTTATATACTATGGAGTTGGGACAGGTAAAGTCAAGGGGAAATTTCCAAAGAGATTTTCATATGCTAAAGAAGACTCACAGGATACTGGAGGCCTAGCTATTGTCAAGCTAATGTTGTTTTTCCTTCTAGCAAAGCACTAACATTAAGACAGTAGGGAGTTCCTGGAGAATTGTTATACTCTGCCTGCCTCAAGTATTTATCAATGGGCTGCAGGTTATAAGGGAATTTAATTTTACCTGCCATTTCTTTCTTGCCTTTGTTCCCTACATCACTATGTAGGGGAGGGTGATATTAGGGGTTCCAGGAAACTGAGTTTATAGATTTCTAGAGATTAAGCTAATGATAAGATTGCCTTTTGCTTATAATTTACTAAGATATTTGTAAACTGATGGAGACTCATGTCCTACATGACTATGATCTCTATCAGTTAGCCATTTGTTTTCCCCTTTCCTTTGTTCTTGAGCATCTAGGAGTGCCTGAGGAATATCACACATATCCCACATGGGGCATGGGGGTGTGTGCTAGCTTGTACTTTGCCCTCAGCTTGCCTTATGCTCCCTCACCAAGTTTACATATTCTTAGTAAATTACAAGAAAAGGGCAATCTTATCAATAGTCTAATCTCCAGAAACCTAAAAACTCAGTTTCCTGGATTCCCAACATCACCTTCCCCTCCATAGTGATGTAGGGAACAAATACTAGAAGGAAATGATAGATAAAATTAAATTTCTCTATAACCTGTAGCCCACTGACAAATACCTGAGACAATACAGAGTATAACATTTGTCTAGGAACCATCTCCCACCTCATCTTAATGTAATGCGTTACTAGAGGAAAACAACCTTAGCTTGACAACAGTAAGGCCTCCAGTTTCTTATGAGCCCTCTTTAGCATATGAAATTCCTTCTGTAGGCCTCCCTTTTGCCTTTACCTGCCCCAACTCCATAGTATATAATCAGTCACCCCTCATACTTATAATGCAGCTCTTTATACCCATGGGTCCTGTCCCTGTGCTTTAATAAAATCACCTTTTTGCACCAAAGACATCTTAAGAATTCTTTCTTGGCCATCAGCTCTGGACACCCACCAGTCCAAAACCCCATCAACAGCACTTCTTGTGTGTTCTAAACAATACCCAAGGCAACTGCTAATAGAATCTAGGGCTATCCATTGGATTTCCCAGCTGATGAGGGATTGGCAAATTGATTATATTGATCCTTTCCCTCTGAGTGAGGGTTCTAAGTATTTCTAGGTTTGTGTAAACACTTAATCACAACCTAATCCATGTTTTTCCCTGCTGCCATGCAAACCAGGCTGCCATTATTAGGGATTAGAGAACCTAATACCATGTATAGATACCCCCACCAAATAATCATTTAGGATCACATTTCAAAAGTCATGACATGAAAGACTGGGGAAAATAACATGACACTGAATGATGTTTTCATCTCCTGTATAATCCACACGTAGTAGGGTTGGTAGAAAGGAAAAATGGGATATTAAAGTAGCAAAGTAAAATGGGATAGTAAAGCAAAACCATCTTTGTCAGGTGGACTAAAGTACTGTTGAAGGCTTTAATACATTTAAATAACCTACCAGTGGAGCCTTCATTATTTGAATATCCATTCTAGTTATCCTCCATCTGAACTGCCTTTGCATTACCATAAATAAGCTGCCAGTTAATGACCTTGGAGATACCCCCATATCTACCTTTGCAGAAGGGTTCCTATGAGCTCCTCCCAGACTTGAAAGACTCAGGGATTTCTTCTAAACTGCTATTTCTTAAACATCCAAGGAAAAACTAAAATTAAAAAAAAAAATCCAACTTAGGTAGATGGATATGTCAATCCTTCAACATCCAGCCTACAACTCAATGCTTTGAGGAATTTAAAGTAACAGTCCTTATCTTACAAATCTTTATTAAACTAGGAATGCAGATCTAGAGGCAATTCAAAGTTCACCTACTCCTTTACCAATCCTAAAACTTCTGTTTATCTCAAATGGCTTGTAAATTATTGACCTTTGTAAACCAAATACTTATCTTTTTTTAATTTTTTTTAATGTTTGTCTTTGAGAGACTGAGAGAGAGACAGAGCTTGAGCAGGGGAGGGGCAGAGAGAGAGGGAGACACAGAATCTGAACTGTCAGCACAGAGCCCAACGTAGGGCTCAAACCCATGAACCGTGAGATCATGACCTGAGCTGATGTCGGATGCTTAACTGAGTGAGCCACTCAGGCACCCTGTAAACCAAATCCTTCTTGAAGAAACTTGCACTCTTTCTCTGTTTCCTAAAGTTATAAATCTTACCATGTTTTTGAAATGTAAACAGCCTACAATCTCCTGAGACTAAGGATTTAAAAAAAGAAAGAAGACTTTTTCAAATATTAACTGCTAGAAGGGCTTACCTGTCCAAATTCTGGACTTTATCCTCCTTAAGATTTCTTACAGGCAAAAATACAAATCTATGAAATCTTCTCCACAGTAATTAATAACCAGAAACTCTCTGCATCTGTCTGTATGTTTGTATATGTCTACTGTGAATATATGGCATTTTCTACCTTTGTAATAGAGTTCTATTTAATTGGCTTAAAGAAAATTAAGTGCTTATATAAATTTAGTACTCATAAAATTTCTCAAAAATAAAATGATCTAAGAAAATAATCTAAAAGAAACATAATCTAAAGGGATTTCAGGTTCGCACGATCTGGTATTAAAGCTTATTTAAGTCTGTTGGATTAATTAAAATTGACATGTCTTTAGAGTTATCAACATTAAATATAAAAGTTTTATTCTACATAAATTTACTAAAATAAGCTCATGTTATCCCTGTTACAAAATTTGCCACCAATAATTTGACATAATAAAACCTCTACTTGAAAATAGTTTCTAAAATCTTTTTGGTAACCTAAAACGTTAAGTAAGTTTGTTAAGTGATGCATTAAGTTAAATTCATTGAGGCGTGCCTGGGTGGCTCAGTCGGTTAAGCGTCCGACTTCAGCTCAGGTCATGATCTCGGAGTTCATGGTTTTGAGCCCAGCGTTGGGCTCTGTGCTGACAGTTCAGGGTCTGTGTGCTTTATTGAAAGATTGTAGTGTAAAAAACACATATGTAGAAATTATGAAATACAGTAAAGCCTTGGATTGAAAATAATGTTTTCTGCAAGATTAACAAACATTTCTAACAAATTTTCACCTGATAAACGAGCAACGTGTTGCAATATGAGTAGTACGTGACACCAAATGTCACATGATCACAACTGAGACAATGGTTCTTGAAATTCACTTTGATATAAAAGTGCTTTGGATTACAAGCATATTTCCAGGACGAACTGTGCTGACAAACCAACGTTTTACTATACACTGTTAGATTTGCCAAACTAAAGAATGCAGGTGTAACACACAGTTAACAATTGCTTATTACTTAGTTTTCTCTAGAATTTAAAGTTTCTGAGGGTTAAAAAACTCTATATGTGGTTAAAGCTACTAAAAATAATAATGAAACTCCCTATAACAAAAAAGTAGGATATGTGCTTTCAGTAAAAGAAGGTATGAGGAATGAAATACTTTTTGGTTGTAAGGGGGGAAAAAGAAAGTATTTTACATAAAGTGAGGTTACTTATTAGAAGGAAGTAAAATATAGTACAAAACCTAATGTAAAAAAAAAAGGAGGTATTGAAAAGAAACCTTTAAAAAGGAATTTAATGTATGCTCAGACCTGTCTGTGATTGGGATAAATTTCATTAAGTAAATAAGATTTCATATCAAAAGTACACTTTTGCAAAATTAAAATTTGGTTTTCTCTCTGTTAAAATAACAAAGCTCTCTTAGATTATTGGCCTGCTCTAATAGGACATTGTAACCAAAGGTGGGTTTTTTTTTCCTTTAATAAAATCTGCCCCAAAAAACAAAGATTCTTTGCTTTCTCTTCATCAGGTCTATAATTACTTCAAAAAACTGTGTCTTCTTAATATTGAAAGAGCTAAGTTTTACTCACAAATATGTAACTTTCTGTATTTGTCTTTAAAAAAGTTTAAACTCGGGGCGCCTGGGTGGCGCAGTCGGTTAAGCGTCCGACTTCAGCCAGGTCACGATCTCGCGGTCTGTGAGTTCGAGCCCCGCGTCGGGCTCTGGGCTGATGGCTCAGAGCCTGGAGCCTGTTTCCGATTCTGTGTCTCCCTCTCTCTCTGCCCCTCCCCCGTTCATGCTCTGTCTCTCTCTGTCCCAAAAATAAATAAACATTGAAAAAAAATTTATTAAAAAAAAAATAAATAAATAAAAAAGTTTAAACTCATTTTGGTTACATAGTAATTATGTATCATAATGATATGTGATCCTATTTAATCAAATGTTTAAATCATATGATATGTTTTAAAGTTTTTATTTAAATTCCAGTTAGTTGACATGCAGTGTTAGTTGTATGTGTATAATATAGTGATTCAACACTTCCAAATATCACCCAGTGCTCATCACAAGTACACTCCTTAATCCCCATCACCTATTTTACCCATCCATCCACCCACCCACCTCCCTACTGGTAACCATCAGTTTGTTCTCTATAGTTAGGACTCTGTTTCTTGGTTTGCCTCTCTCTTTTTCTCCCTTTTGCTCATTTGTTTTGTTTCTTAAATTTCATACATGAGTGAAATTGTATGGTATTTGTCTTTCTCTAACTGACATATTTTGCTTAACATTATACTCTCTAGCTCCATCTATGTCATTACAAATGGCAAGATTTAATTTTTTAGGTCAAGTAATATTCCATTATAGATAGATAGATGATAGGTAGAGAGATAGATAGATAGATAGATAGAGATGGAGATAAAGATAGAAATACTTCTTTAACCATTCATCAGTCAATGAACATTTAGACTCTTTCCATAATTTGCCTACTGTAGATAATGCTGCTCTAAGCATTGGGATACATGTTTCCCTCTGAATTTGTATTTTTATATTCTTTGGGTAAGTACCTACTAGTGCAATTGCTGGATCATAGGGTAGTTTTAGTTTTAACTTTTTGAGGAAACTCGATACTATTTTCCAGAGTAGCTGTACCAGTCTGCAGTCCCACCAACAATGCAAGAGGGTTCTAATTTAGCCATTTTGACAGGTGTGAGGTGATATGTCATTGTAGCTTTTATTTGTATGTCCCTAATGATCAGTGATATTGAACATATTTTCATGTATCTGTTGGCCACCTGTATGTCTTCTTTGGAAAAATGTCTATTCATGTCTTCTGCCCATTTTTTAATTGGATTTTCATTTTTGAAGTGTTCAGTTTTATAGGTTCTTTATATATTTTGGATACTAACCCTTTATCAGATATCATTTTCAAATATCTTCTTCCATTTTATAGGTTGCCTTTTAATTTTGTTGATTGTTTTGTTCACTGTGCAGAAGCCTTTTATCTTGATGAAGCCCCAATAGTTCATTTTTGGTTTTTTGTTTCCCATGCTTCAGGAGACATACCTAGAAAGACGTTGCTACAGATGATGTCAAAAAGTTACTGCCTGTATTCTCTCCTAGAATTTTTGTGGTTTCAAGTCTTACATTCAGGCCTTTAAACCATTTTGAGTTTATTTTTGTGTATTGGGTAAGAAAGTGGTCCAGTTTCATTCTTTTGCATGTTGCTGTCCAGTTTTCCCAACACTGTTTATTGAAAAGACAGTGTTTTCTCCAGAACTGAACCCACAAAAGTATGGCTAACTAATCTTTGACAAAGCAGGAAAGAATATCCAATGGAAAAAAGACAGTCTCTATAACAAATGGTGCTGGGAGAACTGGAAAGCAACATGCAGAAGAATGAAACTAGACCACTTTCTTACACCATTCACAAAAATAAACTCAAAATGGATGAAGGACCTGAATGTGAGACAGGAAACCATCAAAACCCTAGAGGAGAAAGCAGGAAAAAACCTCTCTGACCTCAGCCGTAGCAATTTCTTGCTTGACACATCCCCAAAGGCAAGGGAATTAAAAGCAGAAATGAACTATTGGGACCTCATGAAGATAAAAAGATTCTGCACTGCAAAGGAAACAATCAACAAAACTGAAAGGCAACCGACAGAATGGGAAAAGATATTTGCAAATGACATATCGGACAAAGGGCTAGTATCCAAAATCTATAAAGAACTCATCGAACTCCACACCCGAAAAACAGATAATCCAGTGAAGAAATGGGCAGAAGACATGAATAGACACTTCTCTAAAGAAGACATCCAGATGGCCAACAGGCACATGAAAAGATGCTCAATGTCACTCCTCATCAAGGAAATACAAATCAAAACCACACTGAAATATCACCTCACACCAGTCAGAGTGGTTAAAATGAACAAATCAAGAGACTATAGATGCTGGAGAGGATGTGGAGAAACAGGAACCCTCTTGCACTATTGTTGGGAATGCAAACTGGTGCAGCCACTCTGGAAAACAGTGTGGAGGTTCCTCAAAAAATTAAGAAGAGATCCACCCTATGACCCAGAAATAGCACTACTAGGAATTTACCCAAGGGATACAGAAGTGCTGATGCATAGGGGCACTTATACCCCAAAGTTTATAGCAGCACTTTCAACAAGAACCAAATTATGGAAAGAGCCTCAATGTCCATCAACTGATTAATGGATAAAGAAGTTGTGGTTTATATAGACAATAGAATACTACGTGGCAATGAGAAAGAATGAAATATGGCCTTTTGTAACAATGTGGATGGAACTGGAGAGTGTTATGCTAAGTGAAATAAGTCATGCAGAGAATGACAGATACCATTTGTTTTCACTTTTATGTGGATCCTGAGAAACTTAACAGAAGACTATGGGGGAGAAGGAGGGGGGAAAAAGTTAGAGAGGGAAGGAGGCAAACCGTAAGAGACTCTTAAAAACTGAGAATAAGCTGAGGGTTGATAAGGGGTGGGAGGGAAGGGAAAGTGGGTGATGGGCATTGAGGAGGGCACTTGTTGGGATGAGCACTGGGTGTTGTATGGAAAATAATTTGACAATAAATTTCATATTAAAAAATACAGTATTTTTCCCATTGGATATTCTTTCCTGTTTTCTCAAAGATTAATTGACCATATTGTTGTGGGTTCATTTCTGGGTTTTCTATTCTGTTCCATTGACCTATGTGTCTATTTTTGTGCCAGTACTATTCTGTGTTGATCACTACAGCTTTGTAATGTAACTTGAAGTCCAGAATTGTAATGCCTCTAGCTTTACTTTTATTTTTCAAGTTTGCTTAGGCTATATGGGGT